GGGGGGGGGGGATGGAGGGAGGGAGGGCGAGAGGGCGATCGCCAGGAAGTGGCAGGAGGGGAAAACAGGAGGGAAGCGAGGAAAAGTTGCTCTGGATGGGCATGGATGTTCGCAAGTCCCCAGGGGCCGCCGGCCCATCAGTGGGCCTGGGGCCAGTCGCCGGGGCCGTCCGGCCGTCAACTGACGCGAGTGTATCACACGACCATCGAGTTAATAGCTCTCGATCGGGAGCGCGCATTCGGTTAATGGCGCACGTTGCGCGCGCGCGTGCGGGGGCGCGTGTGTGCGATGTGTCAACGCAGGGGCAATGCCCTGACGGGGAGCACGGCGCTTGCTTTTGTTCGAGTGCACGCACCTGGAGCTGTCCGGATGGGTTGCCGGCACTATCCGATCCAGCCCCTGCCGTTCCCTTTTGCTGCCAAGCTCCTGCGAACGGGCGGGGGGGGGGGGGGGCACCAGACGACGATCTCTCGAGGCCAGGCGCAGAGTGTCCGGTGCTATTCTCCAATTACGGATTCGAGGGGGGTGGCCAGGGCAGGACGAAAAATCTGGCCCGGGAGATCCTCTGCCCCGTGGTAGTAAACGCCAGATCCGCTCTTCGACCATGGGCGAGACCCGCGCACTCCCCTTTCGCAGAATTGCTCCCCCGGAGGGGAGAACCGCCTGGCGGGCAGTCTGCGATCTCGCCACCGGGCACATGCCGGGACTCGACCCCAGAGGGGGGGGAGGACAGCGAAAACAATCGACCACCAACTCTCTTGCCAACGATGGGGCCCGGCGGGCAGGCCGCCAACAGGCCTGCTGGCCGCTGCCAATCGCGAGCCTGGCTGGCGCGCCGAGAAGCCCCGAGGTGCGCCCCAACAGAGACAGACGCGGGCGCGGGCACATACGCAAGCGTGAGTCCCACCCCCCTCCCCCCCCCCCACACGCACACACCCCGGGCGTACCAGGACTGTGGGGCTAGTGTTGCCCCTGGCGAGCTTCCACCGACACGCATGCACCACCCCTGGTCCGGGTGAACGTCCGCCTCGCTGAGAGGCCAGGGAAGGGTCGACAAAGGCCCAGCCACTCCGACGGCAATATTCATCCCCTACTGCGCTGCCACCGGGTTGGGAATCTCCTAGAGAGCACCCCCCCCCCCCCCCTCCACCCCCCGTCACTCTCATCGCTCTCGCACCCACTCTCCCCATTACCGCCGCCGCCGCCGCCGCCGCTGCCGACGACGACGACGACGACGACGACGTTGTCCATTTCCCCCGCCCCCCTTCCCCTTATCCCGGTCCCTGCTCTCCCCACCGGCGATGGCTGCCTCCGATTATGTTCGTTCCCACCCGCCGCGCCTCTCCTTCCCTGGCAGTGGCACATGCCCACTCCTCCTCTGGCTCCTCTTCCATGTACCCCCACCCACATGCATCTCTGACCATGTCCACCCCGACGTCATCCATCTCCACATATAGGCCGTCTTCGAGAGCCGGATAGCTTCCCTCGAAAATGAACTCGTGATGGCTGGCTCCCTTTATCGGACAGGTGCGCACGCAGCCCTTGTCACAGTCACCCCTCGCGCGTGTCCTCTCCGACTCCTTACTCTCCCCTCCTGACACCAGTCAAGCTCCAAAATGACCATCTACTTCGTGTGCGTTCTGCGACCGGGTCGCTGCCGCCGGGGAGGGGGGGAGGGAGGAATCCCATCGCCTGCGGCTATCTAACATACATGCCCTCTTCCTTTCTCTTGCTGTCATGGCGCCGCGGACGGGAATGCCGGCGTGCAGAGCCTCTCGGAAGAAAGGCTACGCTCCACTGATCTTCAGCATAAGGTACGACCCCTTTCGCTATCTCGCCCCCCCCCCCTCCACACACACACACACACACACACACACACACATACGCATACACATACACCCATCCCTCTCCCACTCCGCCTCAAGCGCACGTGCGCACACTTACGCATATCCCTTTTCCATGCACCTCGGTGTATTGCCCTCGGCCGCGCCTCCTCCTACCTACCAACCGCCGACATACCTTCACCAAGGTTGACCAACTAGCCCAAAAACTTCGGCGGGTGTCCACAAGTGCTGCTGTCCGACAGCAACTCTTTGCTCCATGCTCATGCTCAACACTCCCGGTGGCTGAAAGTGCAGACATCCAGCCGCCCGATCACTTCTCCTTCGCCCCGGTGAGCTTCTCCCCGGCGCCAGCTGTGACCTCGGCATCGAAAAGTGCCACAACATCTGCATCCGCCTCAACCACAGCGTCCGCCAGCGCATCGACCTCCTCTCCTCCTGCAACTACCACCACCACTACGACAACCACCACCGCCGCCGCCGCCGCCGCTGCCACCGCCACTACCACCGACTCTGCTCCGGGCTCGGACCAACCCCCAGCCACCGCTCCCTCTACCGCTACAACCGCCACCGCGTCTGCATCCTCCTCCTCGTCCGACCAACCCGAGGCCACCCCCTCGACCACCGCGACCACCGCTACCGCCACCACTGCAACCGCCACCACTGCAACCGCCTCTGGCGAGGCTACCGTTACATCTACCACTGCTACCGCCACCGCCAATGCCCCCCAACCACAGCAGCAGCAGCAGCAACAACAACAACAACAACAACAGCAGCAACAGCAACAACAAGCATCTCGCCCCTGGTCTGCGACGGGTCCGGGCGTCTCGTCTGCCGACGGCCATGCACCACGCTACTCCCATCACCTGCGCAAGCAGGCTGCTCAAGCTTTCGATGCCCAACTCCTGCGCAGTCGCCTGGCCGCCTTGGGTATTGAATCGGGTGCTCCGGCATCCTCTTGGCAGCCGGTGCCATCGCAGGCGGCCTGGCCCCCGACACAAGGGCAGTTTGGAAGGCCTCCCTCTCCGGCCAGTCGACTGGCACCCTCCAGCGTCCCGGACGCCCCGCCCGCCGGTGCGCCCCCCTCCCCCGGTGCGGCATGTTCCTTTCGATACATGTCCAAGTGCGAGTTGCACGAGTACCAAATCAGCCAGCTCCAGACCCAGCTTCGGACGCAGCAGTCCCAGCAGCAAATCCTTCTCGGGCACCTGGCCATGCTGCAGAATTACACCTTCCAGACGGATCGCCTGAAGGCGGAGTTCGGGGCAGCAGCTGTGGCCGAGTGGCCTGCCTCGGGATTACTTTACCCGCCATTGGTGCCGGATTCGTCCATTCCTCTGGACGATGGGGCCTCGGCTCTGCAGCGCCCCTCGGTATCGGTCCCGCTACCTTCCTCAGCCCCGGTCCCGGTCTCGGACCCGGCCCCGGCCCCGGCCCCGGCCCCGGTCTCGGACCCGGTCCCAGCCCCAGGCCCGGTCCCGGCCCCAGTCTCAACAGTGGCTTCGAGCGTACCGCCCTCCGCGGCGGCACCGGTGGCAACAGCCGGCGCTCCATCCGCCCTGGGAGACCCATCAAGCCACTTGCCAACAACCATGGGACGCTACTTGTCCGGAGCACCGCATCACCATCCCCATCACCACCCCCTCCTCCGCCATCCGGGTTATGGCCACTACCAACATGCGCAGCAGCTCCACAGTGGCTACTATCACCATCATACACCCCCCCTGCCGGTGCATTACGCCTCTGTTGCCGGTCCTGCCACTGCCGCCAGGCCACAACACCGGGACCGTGCAACGTCACCGCCGCCGGGCTCTGCTCACCCTCCAGCGCCATGGGGTACCATGGATGCACCACCAGATGACCGGCAAGTGTAGTTCGTGCATGCCCCCAGGCAAATACATGTACCTCCTTCCCCCCGCCTGTGAGTATGTATCAGAAGCGCATTCAAGCCTGTGCTGAGGTGGTGATATCTTGTCGTGTGGATGCCTCCTCGGGCCTGATGGGCAGCGGGATGCATCTTGCCCGCCTCTTTCTCGATACCTCCTTGCGCGAGCGCACGCACACACACACACGCACGCACGCACGCACACACACACACACACACACACACACACACACACACACACACACACACACACACACAGCGACCTACGGGGGTGCGAAATAACCCGGCAGACGCCCATCCAACATGAACTTTATATGTATTTTGAGGAATTATAGAAACAAGGGCAGAGAGGATATCAGGGAGCAGGGGCCGAGCAGAGAGGCAGCGGGCAAGAGAGAGAGAGAGAGAGAGAGAAAGACATGGAGACCAGCACGACGAGCATCTCAACAAGGCGAGAAGCGCGCAATACAACCGACATGACTCGCTCCTCCCGTCACATGTCGGGTAGAGGAAGCAAGGACAGATGGCAAGGGACTTCACAGAGGGAAGGAGAGAGAGAGAGAGAGAGAAAGAGAAAGAAAGAAAGAAAGAGAGAAGGAAACCTCCTACCCCCTGGTTCCCCTGGCTCTGGATCTATCTCTCGCAGTCTGGCCCCTCCAAGCTGCCCCAGACTCCGGGCCCCCATGCTGAAGGGGGCGCAGGGGAGGGGGAGGGTGCGCACATCCAGCGTGCACATCCACCACGTCAAGACAGCGAACAAGGAAGGGAGGTCACACCTTGCGATGTACCTCCCCCCATTCATGCACGCGCCTATGGGAAAGGGGCGCAGGAAGAGGAGGCAACACAGCCAACCGGCATCAGGAGGCCCCAATCCTGTGAGTGCCGCCACTTCTACGACGAGGCGGTGGTCGTCTTGGCCGAGAGGGGCGTGGCCGGGGGGGACTCAACAGAGGAAAGGTCCCCGGCCGGGACACCAGGGTTCTTCGGGGTCGACGGGGTCCCAGTAACCGCCTGTGCCGGGACCACCGTAGACAGGTAGGACAGGAGGGCCTCGGTGTCGTCGGCCAGCGAGGAAATGATAACCTTGTGGTTGGGGTCCTCATTGATCAGGCTGGCCGTGATGCCCAGGAGCTTCGAGGGATTGTTGATGCCCTTCTGAAGCATCTCCTCCGGCAGGGTCACCCGCTTGACAAGCAGGATCTCCCGCAGCTTCATCAGGAGGGTGGCCAGGCTCGGGACCTCCGGGACGGCGACGACAGCGGCCGCGGCCGCGGCAGCCGCGGCAGCGGCCGCAGGAGACGTGGTCGCCGGCACATGCTGAGGGATGCCCACCCCGGATGGCGAGGGGAACATGCTCATCGGATGCGGGAAGCCCGGTGTCGAGGCAGCCCCATGGCCCAGGGAAGCAGCAAAAGCTCCGGCCGGGGAGTTCCCCACAAGCCCGGGATTGCCGGACCCATGCAGCGGCGTGCTCGGATGCATCGGATGCTGGCCGATCCCCGGCAGGTACATCGGGTGGAAGGGCGAATACATGTAGGATTGGGATTGGGCAGCGGCGGCGGCGGCGGCAGCCGACCCGACCCCGGCATCGCCCTGGCCCACCACCGGCGCCCCAGGCGGCATTGAGGGCATCCCATGCGGCGGCATGGCCACCCCAGGAGCACCGGCCCCCGGGTGATCGCGGAGGAAGTCCGGATGCGGCTGCCCGGCCAGGGCCAGGACATCCTCCGCGCCGGCCGGGACCCCGAGGGTGCCCACCCATCCCATGCGGCGGCATGGCCACCCCAGGAGCACCGGCCCCCGGGTGATCGCGGAGGAAGTCCGGATGCGGCTGCCCGGCCAGGGCCAGGACATCCTCCGCGCCGGCCGGGACCCCGAGGGTGCCCACCCGCGCGCCCTTGGCGAAGCTGGCGTTCGTGGGGAACTCAATGTTCTGGGCAATGTCATCCGCCACCAGGGGCTTGAGGTCGTGATCGCCATTCAAGCGCAGGTACTGGCCGAGGGCGATGGCCGCCTCGAAGGGATGGTTCTTCAAGTACTTGAGGCTCATGATGCGCTTCGGGCCATAGTTCCGGGACTGGTCGCGGTCCTTGGAGATGCGCTTCCGGCGGAAGAGTGACGGGTTGTTGGGGCCATCCTTCTGCTGGCGTGGGTAGTGCCGGCGGGCAGGTGGTGTGTTGGCATTGGAGTGCGTGCGGAAGGTGGAGAGGGGCAACAAAGAATGTCAGGACCGAGTATCAGAGAAGGACCATGTGGGTGAAGGACACGGAGGCATGCTCCCCCGCCCGGTTGGAGCAGGCACACAGCCCAACAGAAGCATGGTGGATGGGCGAGGGGGAATATGGCCAACATACCTTAAGCTCCTCGGACCAGCGGGACTCGCTTTCACCGAAGCGCAGGGTATGCGGATCGAAGCGGAACTTCTGATCCCGCACCAGGTAGATGGCCTCCATGTAGATGTACTTGAGCTAAACCGGGAGGGGAGAGGGGGGGGAGGGGACCAGGTTGGCGGACGGGAGTTAGTACAAGCCGCGATGAGGGGAAGAGGCAAAACGCCAAGGGCATATCGACAGGCGCGATCACAGCCCATCCAGAGGAGGGAGCCACGTTGCGATGCAGCGATGGCGGTGACATTGGCGGAGGTCACGCACATCGGAGATGCGGTTGCGAATGGCCGACGGAGTGCAAGGGAAGTCCACCGCCTCGGCGACCTCCTTGTAGATGGGCAGAGTGGCCTGAGTACGGCGCTGCTCCTTAACACGCTGGATGATCATCTCCACGATGCGGCGGTCCTTCTCCGGCGTCCAGGACACGCGGTTCTGCACCGGGTAGTCAGTGGAATTATCCAGCGAGGGCGACCCGGGGGTCGAGTTGGTCACCGAAACAGAAGGATCGGGGACGGCTGTCATGATTGAAGAGGGAGCTGTTGGAGACATGTGGCAGGGAAGGAGAGCCGGGGTAGCAGGCGGAATGTTAAGAGGAGATCGAAGCAGGGAGGGAGAGGGCAAGGGATGCGCACCGTGGAGGGGAGACACTGTCTTACAGGGAGCAGCGGGCGGGGCGAGGAGATGTGGTCTCGGCGTCCCGTTCCGGAATAGGTCTTCAGCCAAGGAGAGGAGGAAAGAAGGGGGGAGAGAGAGGGGGGGGGAGGGGAAGAAAGAGGGAGAGAGCGTGGCGGAAGGAGGAGAGAGGCGAGGCGGAGGTGATCCAGCATGGAAGGACTGTTGATTGCAGCCCCAGCTTTTGGAGGATTCTTTTCTTAGAGAACCAGAGATGGAGAGCTGGGGGGTGTTCTATCGGAGAATGGTTCACGCGGTGACAAGAATGACCGGGGCGGAGGGCGAGAGAGAGAGAGAGAGAGCTGGAGGGGTGCACAACCTTACATCATGCATTCGGCCGGGCGTGTCCGGCCGGCGCACCTCCGTCGTCGACACACCTCTGGGACACCCAGACGAGGGGGCTGGCAGGGGAAGATAAAAAAGAAGTGCAAGGCACACTTTGCGGGGGCTTCGCACCCAGGCCGGGGTGGAGCGGCGCCTGGTCGGCACCTGGCCGCCCCCCCCCCCCCCCTCCCCCCTCCGGAGCAGACATCCCGGGTCGAGGCGTATGTCCACCCGCGGGGGGGGGGGGAACAAGCAGGTTGAACGATGAACGCCCAGGCAACACTGGGACAGTGTGCCGGGCGGGGCCCATGTTGTGCGTCGTCGCTCCCTACCGGACATTTGGCCCGGGCATGCCGGCTCAGCACACCCCACGAGACGGGGACAAAGGGGCGCAGACCTTGCCAGGCCATAACCAGTGGCCCCGGACCCCAGTGGACACCCCCGGCAGGGCGGCAGCGGCAGCGGCAGCGGCAGCGGGGGGGGGGGGGGGGGGGGGGCCGAATTGCGCGCGCACTTTCCGCCAGTTTTCCCGCCCTTTGGGGCAGCAAGCGGACGAACCACGCCTCCCAGACCCGGGACTATCCCTTTAATGCCGGCCTTTAAAAGGAGGCTGGATATTGCAGAAAATGGCTGTACACTCCACAGCCCGAGCACGCGTGTGTGGGTGTGGCCGATGTTCTGATGCTGGCCCGGGCCCGGTGCATGGTTGGCGCGTCCTGCGATGCCTGGCCGTCGTCCTGGCCTGCGCGCGCATTTCCCCGAGTGTCGGTGCAAATGGACCGCTCCCCCGCCGATTGACCGCGCCCGGCCGTGGTTAAGCACTGGGCACCCAGCTGGCGCGCATTCCTCCCCCGCCGAAAAGGCCTCGAGCCAGCGTCCCCCCCCCCCTCGGCCGGCACCCACACCGCCCGCCCGGAGGCCCGAATTTCCGGGCCCCAAGTCCGCGCGGCCGGCCAATCTCCCCCACTATCTCTCTCGGGCGGGTGCCTGCCCCCCCCCCCCCCCTCCCCGCCCCTCTGTCCGGCCCCATTTCCGTAGGGTTGCCCTCGGTCTGGTGGACCTTCTGCTGGCCCGCGGTTCAGGATGTACCCAGCACTAGTAGGCTGCAGTAACCCGGTCAATTTAGAACCGAGTCTCCACAAGTAGATAGGCCACACCTAAATCTCCGCCTCCAGGCGGGGGCCCCTCGGGCGGCAACACCCCCGGAACTGGTGCCCGGCTCCGCTGGGGGGCCCCGCCGGACACAGGCGGGCGATCGAAAACTCGCGCGCCAATTTCCCGCCCAGTCGGGATTTCCTGTCCCCGACCCGCGGGCCGGCCATCGGCGCTGGGCGCCGACCCGAGGCCGTAGTCCATCCGGCAGGCGCCGCGGCCCGGACCGTCTCACGGTTTCCAGGGCGCCAGGCCGCGCGCCCTGCCTGTCCAGCGACACCCTGCGCATCTATTCCTGGTGTGTGTGCGTGCATGTGTGCGTGTGTGCGTGTGTGCGTGTGTGCATGCGGAAGAGGATCAGAGTCGGCGCTTCCTGTCCAGCTGCAGGTCCTGGATCTCCGGGGCGCGCGCGCGCGGATCTGCCCCATGTTGCAGAAACCCCGCGCCCTGCCAGGACCCCCCTGCTGGACTTGGACCCCACGGTCGCCCCTTTGCGGCGGCCGTCTGTGACAGCGTCCCGCGCACCGAGGGTTCCGGCCCGTACGTGCGCGCGCGCGCGGTACAATCTTCGCGATCAAGTCCGGCCGTCAGGCGATGGTCCCAGCGGCCGAGTCACGACGGGCGTCCCATGATCAAAATAAGCCCGCGTGACCCCGACTCACGATGGCTGCTCGATCGTGTGTCGACATTTCCAGGACGGCCGCTGGCCCCCGCGTCCAGGCCTTTTTTTCGCTCCCGCCCCCCTCTCCCGGCTTTCCTCGCTTGCGGCAGCACGCCATCATGCCCCTCCACCCGCAATCACGGTCCAGGTCGGACTCGTCGCTCGCTGGCCCAACGGGCGGCCTAGGCGACTCGGAGGAAGACACCCGCACATGTACACTCTCCGGGAGCTGTGCCGGGGCCCTTCTCCTGCCGCGCTGTGACAGTCCTAACCCCTCAATCACTCCCTGCCCTGCCAGCCTCTCCATCGCCCCGGCAGGACTTTCGGGGGGGGGGGGGGGGGGGGTGGACACGCTCTGGACACCTATAGAGTTGAAGGCCCGGCTCACAACCAACGATGACTCTGACACGTGTGTTTTCGCACCCGAACCAATCGATTCGGCACTGCACACGGACAGACCCACCAGTGCACACGCGCACATGTGCACCGGCCGTGTCTAGGAGGCCCTTAGTTTTTCGACTGCCTTCACCATTCGACTACCCCCTGTGGGTTGTGAGTTTTCCACAGGCACATGGCGCCATGACCCGACCACCTGGCATCCACCCCTGCTGGTGCGGCCTGTCTCGCCCGCCCCGCCCCTGTCGCCCCCCCTCCCCCCTCCCCCCCCCCGGGCTCAGCGGGAGGCTAACCCTTCCCGACCCTTCACTGGGTCGCCTCCTTCCCATGCGCTGGCCGATCTGCCCCCCTGCAGGCCTGTCCACCGGCAGAGGTAGATCCAGGTACACATGCTCACCTCAGGCAATGTCCTCGGGTGCGGCTGTGGCGACGGCGACGGCGACGGCCGGGCAACTCCGGCCAGGGCGCCCAGTTGCACATGTGGCCCCGCCCTCCCCCGCCCTCCCGCGGCTCATAGTTCCTTGTCATGCCGGCTCCGGCCGTGGCTTCGGTGGTGGCTAATCACACCACCCCCCACCTCGCTCTATCCATCCCGGCTATTGTTCTGCCATACCAACGAGCCAGCGAGCCTTCGCTCCCTGCCCCCCCCCCCTCCCCAAGCAAGAAATCTGTGGTGGCTAAGTCCCCCGGGGCCGTGACACCTGAGACACTTGACGCCTCGAGGCCACCCAGCAGCCCGCCCTTGGCCTGTGGGGGGAAATGGGGGCTCAAGGCGGAAAGCCACACCGTGGCTATGTACGGAGTCGCGTGAAAGCTCGCCCCCCCCCCCCCCCCCCCCCCC